TTTGAAATTCAAGGGGCCACGACATCAGTCAGATGTTCGGAATATATCAATTTTGTTTCTTCTGCTAATGTAGAAAAGTTTTGCCGTAAATTTGTCGGAATAGAGGACTAACAAAATGTGGATTCTGGCAAAGGAACGTGTCAGAGGAATTCATTTACTACCTAAAGGAACAAGAATTATCCATTTTTTCTGTGACAGGGAGCCACAATACGTACTTTTGTTTAAAAAATCGGCATTTTTAACTGCAACATTACAATACCTTCTCTATACATATGTAATATAAACTACTGTATTGCTGCACCCAAAAAGGGCAAAAATTTTTCAATACATAAATCAAAAATATATTTCTCGGTTAATTGATTTTAATAACTTCACTACTGTAAAGATTAATTCTTTTTCAGACTAAATGTGAAGTTCAATAAATTCATTAAAAACAGGTATCTTTACTTTAATACTAAATACACAGTCCTTTTTGTATTTAGACTCATTCAGTATATTTTATACAAATTATTTTGGAGCAACAAGACCAGAAGAGAAAAAATACCATTTTTTAACTCTTTTTAAAAAACAATGCAGTATAAAAATATAAACAAAGGGGAATTTTGTCCCCGGAGAATTCAGGTTCCCCTTTTCCTTCCTACTGAAAATCTTTCAAAATAAATTAAACGATTCATTTCTTTGAAACCATTTATTTCAAGGCTTACATCCAGTATCTTTCTTTCAAAGTTCCCAAAACTGAAGTCATAACAACTTTAAACACAAGAAAATCAACAAACTAAAACATTTTGTTTCAATGTTTTAGAACATTAAATTAATTTCCTCACAATCATATTTTAAAGCCAAAGGTACATGTGCAATGATTAAATCCCTAATTTCAGATTCAAATACATCTTGAATATTTAATCTACTACATCTTGAAAATACATTTCTGTGTAGAAATAAAACAGATACAGGTTCAACTTAAATATATTTCTTTTTTAATTTTATATATATTGCCTACCTGTGACAGAATTTTTCTTAGTATTTAATTAGATCTTTCTAGCTCTCTTAAGAACCTAAACACAATTTACTCTATCAATAGCCATCTTTAAACATCCGTAAACCACAATAATACAAAATATGCAATTATTCCAGACCACATAGGTCCCAAGACCAAAATATCATTCAGTTTTATTTCAAACCATTCTACATGCAGTAGGCCACCTGAGGTATTAAGCAAATCATTGAATAAGGCTGATCTTAAAACTAATGACTGACTCGTTAATTTGTAAATGAAGCCTTTCTGAAAATCACACATATGAAGATGCTGAAAGTTCAAAAGGATTTTTTGCTTTCCAATCAGCCTAAAAATCAAAAGTGTGTCTAAGCAAATGTTAACATGCAATTGTTTTACTTGAGTATGCTTGTGAAATACGTTTATCTTTAACTTTTCATGCTACTAATTTTCAATCCTCTATTCGATAAAACAACCATTTTTATTCATACATTAGATTCTTCCCTTCCTACACAATTCATTATGATATGTAAGTAATGCCTACTTTATAAAAAAAATTTCACAATTTGTTTTCTGGAATTAAAAATGATTAGGCTCCCTATTGAATAGACTATTTTTAAGTGATCCAACTTCTGGATATCAACAAAACTTCATATAAAAAACCAGACTTGACCACCTTATTCACAACTAGCAACTCAAGAAAGAATTTAGAGGAAGATACTTCACTGAAATTTCAAAATGAATGACCTTAATAAAAAGAAAACAGCATTTACAAGCTGCCCAAAGATCCTAAGGATAATTTTGTATTAACAATAATAACTAATATAAAAGTAATAATTAAACTTCATTCTCTTTTTGGTAAAAGGAGATCTACAAAACTTGTATTAAACATTGATTTTTTTTCCTGAAGTATTTGCTATTGTAAAATATTAGTATTAAGAAAAAAATTCTAATTGTCAGAAACAAAGGAATATCTTGACAGTTTTCTTCTACCCCCACAAAATAACTTTTTCTTTACAATTAGTGCAATTTACATAACAATCTACCGTAGTCCAAGTGGAGAATCAATTTAAAGTTGCATATACATCCTAAGAGCTACTTATGTCTGTCTTACAACTACAGACACAAAATAAGTGACAACCAGCACCTAGCTAAAACTTCAATATAAACATTGCTTTACACAAACTATCATATAATCATTGACATAATCACTGATGTAGGCACATCAATCTATTAATCTCACACTGCAATCATGAGAAAAATTATTTTATTCAATATTTTCCTTAAATATTGATCTTATTAACCCTGAGCAGGACAATGAATTGAAATAAGATTGTTCTTTACTTTAAAACTCCTCCACCTGTTAAATTAAGATCAGTTAATCCCCAAACTTCATTGAAGGTTTAACAAGTTTTGGTCCTTTCTTGCAAAGAAGCAATTATTTAGGCACTCTTTAGCTTCAGTTAATTTACAAAATGTATAAACAGTAAAAATGTAGAACATCTCCACAGTTTTATTCTGAAAGTAACTGCATTTTTCTGCAATTACAAATTAAAACAGAAAAAAGACTAAGTACATACAGAGTTCTCAAAAATAGGAGTAAGATATAAGATTTTTGTTTGTAATAAGCAGAAGGAAAAAGTAGATGCAGAATCCTCTTACAATAAATAATGATTTTGAATAATAAATTAATCAACAAACTGTACAAACAACATCATAATCTGTTTTCTGTTCAAATACTAGCTTTTGTAAGTATTCATGGTAAGGTAGCCAATAAATGTATATTAGTGTATGATGGCTATTCCCTATCACCATATTTACCATTTCCTAACTTCCACATAATGAGTTACAAATCGTTACTAACATTTAGTTTTATAGTGACAAACCTTAGATGTGCAGTTTGATACCAATTTTAACATTCACTGCACTGATGTAGTAAAAACATCACAAAAGCTCTTATTCAAATAACACATTTACCTTTAAAAAGGAAGTCAGTTAAGTAACCAGCAGTAGCAGATTCAGGGAAAAACTCCATGACCTACTCCCAAATACATTTGATGACAAAAAAAAATGGAATTATTCTGCCAGAAGGACAGTAAAATACATATATAAACCACATAGTATTATCTGATTACACAACAAGCAATTCATATGATGTGCAAAAATTAAAATGGGTTCAGATAATAGCAAAGTTCTTTGGTTTAGGAAAATAGATTTTTGCTGACTCAAAAACAACACTGCTTACTCATTTAATGTACAAATGCCTTTAAACATCAATTCTCAGTAAACTAAACTCAATGAATTGCACAATTTTCCCATGATATCCTGCTTGTTGGCTACCTTGAACAGAGAAGTTAGCTCATCAGTTGGTTTCCTGTTCCTTCAAATTGTTAATGCACACACCTAGTTAGTGCTTAAATGCATTATGAAATGTTTTGATTCACAAGATTTTAATGAAAATGTTTCAATTACTTTTTCAATATCAAGAGCATTGATATTACATTACAGAAAGTCATACAACAGCTTAGAGAAAGAAGAACAGAAGAGTTTACAAAACTCAAAATGGCTGTTCAGAGATACTAAAACCTTGAATCAAAAGAAGATTGCCAGCCCAAGATACTAGAGCAACATTTAAATAACAAGGCAGGACAAGAAAACTAAAATCACCACCTGCAATTGACAAATATGTTCAGCAAAAAAACATGTGAAAATATCATTAAATAATATATGAACAATAAAAAATTGTCAAATTCTTTTAGAAAAATGATGTTGCAAGTAATCTTTATAGCAATAATTATATTTTAAAAACTGAATGAACAAAAGTGTAACACCTGTTCATTTTTTGGCCAAACAATAGGAATTTAAAATATTTTATATACTTGATCTAGGTAAAAATGAACACATTATTATTTGAAAATACCTATAGCTCGCGAAAGAAATGCATAGTAATTTTGATATTTTTTAAACCTGTTACATGCATGATAAAATCACATTAGTTCACAGTTCTATATAATACTAGACTTTCGATATAAGGAGAAAGATAGTTGTCAACAAACTTCCCGCAGTCACTTTGTTTCATTTCGATAGAACATTGTTTTCTTATAAAGAAAATCATCATCCTGATGCGTTTTCTTTTGATTTTATAAATAGTTGGAACTATAATTATTCGAAATATAATCTCAAGAACAAGGCTTACAATCTTTCAAATCCCCAAGCAATTAAAGGGAAAATACTATCCAAAATATAGTAATGGTATGCAAAAAAAAAATCAATCTTGATATTATTTTCAAGGTACTACAAGTACAAAATGACGAATCGAAGTAAATCTTCAGGTTAAATAAAAAAATTGAAGATAAGAAATGAGTTATTAGGAATTAAAATTCCCATTACAATTCTGGCAAAAAAATTACAAGTACAAACCATTAATACCTTTTGTTGTAGTAAATACAGGTATCTTAGATCTGCAGTCATAGAAAATGAAATACTGATGTGCCAACAACATTAATAATAATTTAATCAACAATAACAATGAATGTAATAATAACAGCACAGATGTTCACAGTTTCATTACAAAAATAGTTTGTATGATAGAGAGAAAATTGCAATAACCTATGTTCCAAAACTGGAAACAACAATAATATAACAAAATATTCTTGTTTTACCATAAAGTAATTCTGATTGTGCCCAAATACATAATAAATTTGATACATACTTTTGAAATCACATGCAAGTTAGAAGTAGCTTCTCAAAGCATGTTTGAAGCACAGCCTACAATTGAGCAAAAGCTGAATAAATCAGAATTTACCCAAAAATTTATTTCAAAAACAGAAAACATTTGGTGAGAGAGAGTTCGTCACAATGATTATTACACACACAAACACTCATAAAGTTAGGTACTTTCATAAATTAAATTTCATTTGCAACAAAAATATCAATTTTGTTACAATTCACACAAGTGTCGCAATAAAAAATTAAACAATTAGAAACAATACCTATGTACATTTTGTTAAATGTTATCAATAGAAATATTGATTCTAAAAACAGTAGATGGATTTACCAAACTAAGGCGAATACATTTTTCAAATTTATCCTTTATGAACGTAAAATCCATCACATTTCTAGGTTTGGATTCTATCCAGAATCTGTCAAACTCATAAAAGAGATAACAGTAAAACTGATGAAATACTTTCATTGTGGGGAACTTGTTACACACATTATAAACATGGGTTTTTGCAGATCCATCTTTTAGTAAATAGTAAGCCATACTTGTCAGGTTTATACCCACTATTGCAAAGGCGTACCCATACTGGGGATGATGAGAATGAGAAAGAACATGCTGGGCTGCACCTGGGTATTCTCGAGCAAAATATATTAAATTTTCTAAACCCAAAAGACCCATTCCTCTAAAGTCTGTTTTTGGATCATCACCCTGAAATCCAATGTCTTGCCATTGTTTTGTGATCCTTGCTTCAAGAGGTACTTTAGGCATCAAAAAATTCCACAATGCCAATAATTTCTGTTCATGTTCTTCTTTTGATGAGTCATATGTGGTTGTACGTAGGGCTTCAATTTCCTGGATCAATTGTTTATAACCCCAAATATGCTCAATACATGTGCTTAATGACTTTCCTAACTGAGGGTGTATTTGTGGTTTAATATTCTTCACTTGCATAATGGTGTGAACAGCATACTGAACAACATATTCTTGATTGCTTCCAGTGAAAGACACAGTATCACTTGTTCTATTCAAATACTCAATAAGCTGCTTTATTTCTTTACTTCTCGAGTGGTATAACGAAAACTCTACACCAAGAGTACGGCAAGCACCCACACGTTCACCATAACATATCCTTTGCAGTTCGCACAGTTTTGTGGTTTTTCTTAAAAACCACTTCACAAACGGTCTTAGAATCCAATACAAAAAGGTCCAAAAGGATCGAAACATATCAATGTCAAATAACTTTACGATTAAATCAACACCAACACCAAACTGTCAGTCTGTCCAGCGCTTTCAGCGGCATTTAAGTGGCGTTGCGCGAGAACTTCCTCGTTAGAAAACTTTCATAAACGTAGCTATGACTCACTCTCCGCATCGTGTTTTCAAATGATCAACACTTTTCGGTATGTCCTGACTACCGTCACAGGACACTGCGCTCTCAATTAGAGCCCCCTACATCCCGAATTGCATTTCCAAACAGATCGTTACACAAAGCATCGCAGATAAAACAAAGATGACAGTCGAAGGTGCTGCCTTGGCGCTACAAAAGAGTCAAAGTGTTTGATCGAACCCATGGTGAAAATTACCCATGAATGTTATTTCCACTAGGGTCGAACCTTGAAGTAGTGCCCTACAATGTACACCAACGAACACTACAATATGTACCATACAGTAACGCCATGGAAGAAGGCCAAAGAAACACTTCTATGGTAGTAACATATGCTCGTTGCTTGAGCACAAAGTGTTGTTTTTACACCTCCAGCACAGGTGTGAACGGCGAAATAGCATGATTAGGCTATGGTGTGAACCAAAAACAGCCAAAACTATGGTCCGAAACAGTCGGAACGGTATGGCCGAAAGGAATATTTTTAGGCCCAGAGCTTAATCTCTTCCCACCATTACTTAACCTTTGTTCATAAAATACCAGAATGTACTACTCTTGTAGTATAATTACGTTACCAAGGGATTTTTCCTAGGTGGACATATCCCATAAAAATAAATAAGGGTGATATTTGTAGTGAGCTATCTCTGTTGTCACCCGAGGATCACTGAAGGTTTCTGCAAAGCCAAAAACAAGCAAAATTTGCATAATACTCGAAATAAAGTTGTATATATGATACAAGAAAATGTTTTATGTCAAAGCCAGGAGAGCCCCTCTGCTTTTCAGTTTTCACTTCCCCAGAAATATTACATTTCTTCAAAACATTAAAAGTGGATTTGTTTTTTTAAATTTTCTTTTTCAGATTAATAAATATTTATCATCCAGTTTATTATAATTTTTAGCTACAATTTTATTACCAAATTTTATAGGCCAATGATATGACTGGCTGCTGTTCTAATCTGTGGACGGGTTATTGCTTCAGATTATGTTCCTATGTGGTATTCTAAAAAATGAGACATTTTCAATTTTCTATCACAATTTTTGAGATGTAGTTCTTGTTGTCTGCCCCATGCCATGGCATGGGCCATCGGAAAGTGCAAATCCAAAATCTATTTAAATTTAATTAAAAGAAAACTACCAAAACAATCTTTCATAATAAAATTATAGGGACTACTTGATTTTCTGTGCATTTTAATCTGAACACTTAGCACTATTGGAATGGTTGCACTTGTACACAATTGGGCCTATAATGCTGTAACACAGAGTTTGGAGGATGGCCATTCAAAGTTAAAGGATCAATTTTCAGTTTCTTTAAATCAATTTTTTAATAAATTAGTATTTTCAAAGCACAAAGTTTCGGCGAGGGTCCAGATTGTATATATTTATATGTATACAAGAATAACTACTCAGCTAGGGAAAATTTTCTCTACCTTATACTGTCTGTTTATTTTTGATTGTACATGAATATTTTCATTGTTACATTAAAATCTAAATTCACATTATGATAATAATTCAGGACTTGTTATCTTAACAGATACAAATCATGACTTTTTTTTCAACCAAGAAAATATCCAAAAATGTTTTTTTCTTAGTGAAAATTATTTTCCTATATTCCATGTTTTTAATAAGAAAAGTTAATGATAAATTGATGGAAAAAAACTAAAATTATTCAAATACATTTTTGTTTCTGAAGATGATGGGAAGGGAGTAAGAAACATTTCAAAAATGTATTATTATGTTGAAGGAATAATTTAACTACTTATAAGACATTTTATTCTAAATTATTTTTTGGAATCTGATCTGCGGCAGCCCAATACAGAGGAGAATAAAACAAAATTGCTTATGCTTAATATTATATTCCACCCTCACATTTCAGATTTAAAAATATGCATAATGTTTGTTAATATCAAAATTTTTATTTCCCAATCATGTAGGTGGACATTAAGAATTAAGTTCTTGGACTGGAACTCACTGGAATGTCTTCAGGTCTTCTTCATTTTTGAACAGAGAGAAAACTTAAATTATTTTTAATAGCGTAATCTCATTTTTACTCTCTTGCTGATACTTTCGGTCTGAAAATATTGAAAAGATGTGGCAAAAATTGATTTTGCAACTGAAAAACTTGCATTATGGGGCCCTGGTATCCTGTCGTTCCCTATTCCTCATAAATTACTTTTACTAACATGTGTAGTCATGTTTTCTGGGTTCTTGATACCGAGAGTTAACAGCAAAACATCAGTATATCCATCTGTCCATGGTCAATTTGAACACCTAATCTGACCACACAATTCTTTTCAAAATTGAAATTCTGTGATCAATTTCTTCCAACTCAATACCCTGGCAACTTTAAATGGATATTTTGATTTTTGGAGGTACTTTACATGAAGCCTTAGCAACATTTTCAGTTATTTCAAAAATGGGTCAAAATTGTTTTGTCAATTTTTTTTCCTTTGAGCAGAAATGAGTTAAAAAATTCTGCAGGTACCATTTTTAAACTTTTTTTTTTTAAATTGTAAAAGAAAAAATTTTGGGGGCATATTTCTACAACTTGAAGAGATTTTTTCCTCAATGAAATGTGTTCTTCAAAGACAGTTCTTTAAATAAGGTCATGTACAATTTTCTGAAAATAGGAGCAGTTTTTTGTAATTGTTCACAAAATATAGGTCATTTTTATACAAATATTTTCTCAAAAACAGCTCCAAATTTTTGTTGAACTTCTTGAATTTTTGAAAATTTCAGAACATATATAAAGTCGTGATTGTATTGGTGCAAGACTGATATATCTAATAGAGCTTGAGAAAGTTCTTAGTAATTTCCAAAAGTTATACATATATGAGAAAGTTTGTATCATTCCACATCACTATGAGTTTCTCCGTAAGATTTGAGAGTCATGAATCTACTTTTTCACTTTACATTTTTACTTAACTGCACATAAGACAAAGAGAAATGTTTTCATTAATTTTGTTCTTACTGAAAACCGAAGAACTTCACACTGGTTTGTGTACACACAGAGGCAGTAATTATTTCCTTGACAGCAGTATGCCATAAAAGGAAAATAACATTTTTTTTCATTGATACTTATTTGAGAGCAATGAAATATATAAATATACAGGAATTATGTAATACATTTTTCCCTCCTGGCCAGATCTCATCAAATAGCCTACCATAAAGACAATAAGTAGGCATGGATCTAAGAGGAAAAATAAGGAAATTTACCCCCTAAAATAACTATTAATTTTAACTTGTCACAAAACTATCAAGCACACATATTTTTAGATTATCATAAAAACGGATAAAATTGTATCACAGCATGAGCTGAGTGTAGCCTAGGACGTTTTGCAAAATATATAATAAGACAGATTCGTCGACAACACCTTGAATTTCCCCTCCCAAAATTCGTCTCTGGATTCACCCCTGCAATAAGAGATGCATATTCATTGTAAGGATACTTTATTGATCAAATATTTGATTAAAATTGAGACCAACTTAATAAAATTGATTTACACAATTTAAAAAATGACTTGCTTTTCAGATTAGTGGCAATCAGTTAGACCATAACTTATTGTGTACCATCAACGGCAAGTCTTCACATTCACAAAAAGCATGACTTATTTCATTCTGTTCTAAACTCATGTCTTTGTCTGTAAACATTGCAGTGGAAGAAGCATAACTAGAATCCACGTTAATTGTGTGTTCTCTCTCACCAGAAATTGATAATTGCCCCATTGAGCAAGTTGGAGGTAAATCTGAAGATGTTGAAGACAACTGCAAATGATTTTCAGGGCCATCAGAAGAGTGTGACACATGATTGCTCTTGGCATAATGTATATCACCAGCAGATAAAAACTTCTGGTTTTTGGCCTGCTCATTTTGAGGAAGATTCCATTCAGAGGCTATTTTATTAAGAGGCTCCAAATAGGAAGCAGTTTGTTTCACTCGAGCAAGCTCTATGTTACACATCCTTTCTACTTCCATAAGCTTTCTTTTATATGAATGGGCTGCAAGTTGTCTTCGCATTTGTTGGCGATAATCAGAACTTAGGCCTAAGAAACTAGTATCATGGCACCTCTGGAGGTGTTTCTCATATGCTGTAGTGGAAGTCTCGTTTAAATGTTGAGGCATTTTTTTATCCAATGATCCAGAATTACTAACAGGTTCTGAAGAACTTCGCACAGTAGAATCTGAACTTGTGCTATTAAATAAGTTTTCTTCATATTGCATTTTACATAACTCATCAATTTCCCTTCTCCACAATTCTTTTTCATCTCTGAGTTGTTCTTTTAAAGCATATATTACTTCTCGGAGAGATTGAATGCGTTTGGCCATTTCTTTTTGCAAATTTGAATTTTCTCCTTCTTCCCCATTACCAACACCTGTATTACTCAAGTTTTCATTAATTTCTGGAAATGCTGGTGACACTGTATCACCTTTCCCGTCCATATTAATATGTATGCTTAGGGGCCAAAATATTGGAATACTTTTTATTGTTACGTTTGCTAGGCAACAATTTGATTGTCGAACTCTTTTCATTATTAGAAAGAGAATATTGTTACTTAAAGATCAGAGAAACTAATATACTTTGGCAAAATATTGCAACTGAAGATGGATCATATAACATGACACTGTAATTACATGATACTGTCATTACCTACAAAAATAATTCTTTCCTGAATTTGTTTTTAAAATGTTTTTATTTTAGAAGAATAGTTTTAAAATATCTTAGTAATATTTTTTGATGTTGAGAATTCAGTTATAATGTCCATTGTATTAAGAATACAGAAAATAGTAGAAATTGAAAATTAAAAATACAAATCTATTATTCAGAAATAAGTAATTATTTTCATGGGCCAAATAGATTAGAGATTAAGCCATCAAAAAGAAGGTGCTTACTGCCCTGCTTGTTTGGGGTACCCAATAATTTTGCGAACTAAATTTGATATTATTTCATAAACAAGTGCATTTTATGAAATATGTTATTTTTATATTAAGTGCTTAAAATGTTTGTATTTTGCACTATCCATATCAAGGGTTCTTTTTTTATCCGATAGATCAAGGCACAAAAAAAAAATCAAGATACTGATGAAACAATCATTTTGGTCTCAAAATATAAACTAGTGGTGCAACTACAGCACATACTTTCTCGCGTTATTGGAAACAGCTACATAATATTGAAATATTGCATTTTCTGCGCTACTGACACCTCAGCTATTACTTGTAAACGTCCAAATCAATGTGCAATTCGTGGCAGAAACGCTTATTTCCATCTGCATTCAGATTTCAACTTGTTTATCGTTTAGTCATAGTATATCACACATTTGGTAAATAACTCTAATACTAATAAACTAATTAAATTACTAATATTCTACGATTTGAAATATTAATTTATCACTGCCTTCTTATGTACTGATATCGTCTCAAAGGAAGCGCAGGAAAATGAAACTTGTTCGTTAGGTCGATCAAGGTGAAGTGCCCCCCGAAAATACTTCAAATGAAAGTCAAATCTCAGTTATTCAAGGCGGTAAGAAACAATTTGGCCCTTACCGGCCTAATTTTTAAATAAATGAAGTTTAAATTAGTACAGGCTCTTACGGGAAAACGTTGGCGGGCATAATTTCTTTAAGTTATACGGTTAATGTACCTTTCCTTTTATTCAATACGCAGTGTTTTTTGTTGATTTTTTTTAAACAGGAATCAGATGAAATTAAATGCAATGCAACATACCTCACCGGGCATTCTGAGGAGTAATTTATAGAACCTGCTTCGAAACTCATCGCAAATGGATGTACTGGCTCTCGGCCTAGGAGTTACACTGTACAAATCATGCTGTAGTCACCAGTGACCCTTAGGGCACGAGAGAAAACAAAAAATATGAATTAGCAAATAAGTTTCGAATAATTTCTGAAAGGTTAATATGGAAACACAGGCTCGACTAAATTACAGCTGCATCTTATCACCGCCACCATCTCGACGTTCAACAACAATGAGCTAATATATATCAATTGCGGCATTATTGCGCAAATGTCAATGAAGCTTTGCGGATTGCTTGATAGAAACACATCAACACATTGAGAATACAAATTGTAGAAAAGTGAAAGTGAGGGAAAGTAAAAATAGAATTCATATTGGAATTTTCAATAGGAAATTATAATTAAAATTAAATTAATTATTTTTCATATAATTCATTCACTTTTTCTTGTGACCTGTAGTTAATGTGACATCTGTATATATTTCATTCATTTCAAGCAGAAATTTCGCAAAAAATACTCGTTTCTTCAAAAAATTGTATATAACATTTTTCAAAAAGAGCTAATTTTGTACAACAGACTGAGACAAAAATCTATATTTTCAATTTTGTAGTTTTGAATTTTTTGTTGCAATTTAAAAAAATACAAGCAATACCCGAAAACGGGAATAGCACCATGTTTTACCGCCCCTTATTGCATATGTGAAGAAACTTTAAAGAAAACAATTGGAGTGTTTTTTGAGGAGGAAATGCGTAAATTTCGCGCGCGAAGTTCACGCAAACAAAATTTAATAAAAAAATTCGGAGCCATTTTGTTGAAAATGTCCGAGAGGCTTCATTTGAAGTACCCCCAAAATTAAAATATGGGTTTCTAATTCGGGGAGTGGTGGCATCAGCCAGAACAATTGAGAAATATTAATTTTGGAGAAAATCGGCCGAACGGTTTATGCGCAAGGGTTGTGCACAGATAGACGTACAGAAAAACGTTTTGCCGTCAATCGATTTGTCGGGATGGGTGCACAAAACATGGATTCTGGCAGAGCCACGTGTTAGAAGATTCTTTTTTTTAAATATATTTAGCAACTACATTTATCCCCTTTTCGTTACCAGCACCCCGCAATTACTTGTGTACAAAATTCGTTTTCCAGAGCACAGTTACAATATTTTCTCTTTTTACGTTAGGAAGTGCGAGAAAGTAAAATCATTTTTTCGATGACAGTATAAAAGTGCTTATAAAACAAGCCTTCATGTCTTTCATTTCTGGTTGTTTCATTGAAACATTGTTGACGAATGTGAGGCGAGAGAAGCACAGGGAGGAGGTATTGACTGATGTCTAGGGAGGATGGCATTGAAAACAGTTCAAGAAGGGACCTTCACAGGGCTCTTGAGATAGACAAGGAGGATGTGAAATGCAGTCGGATAGCGATACGTCAAGTAATGAGAAGGATATTGAGGAATTACGCTGGAATAGTTCACAAACAAACAGGATGGTCCAGTTGTTTCTGTCATCAAATTCAAAGCTACACCGTGCAGTGCAGATCTATATTCTCTACTGTATATAATTGAAAGCCGACAAGACCTCTCTTACGATTTAACACAGTGGGTGGTGCTCGGAGCCGAGTAATTAGGAGAGGGTGAAAAATGTTTGTTTTTCTGGCGACGAAAGAAAACAGGCGAGAAGACTGACGCCCATCGGAAAAGCTGCTCAAGAGTAGAAAGAATAGAAAACTATGGCGAGAAAGTTTTATAGAACATTCGTTTTTTATTTATTTAGTTAAAGAGCTAATTTTGAATAACACTGTGACGTAAAAATCTCTATCTTCAAATTTATAGTTTTGAAAAGTTTTTGCAAGTAAAAAAAAAAAAACAGCAATACCCGAAAATGGGACTAGAACCATATTTCTAACCATCCCTTATTACATATGCGGAGAAAGTTTCAAGAAAAAAATTGGAACAGTTTTTGAAAAATTTGTTTTTGATGTTAATTTCAAGCCCGCATTACGCAAAAACTACTCGTTTCTTCAAAACATTGAACATTACCTTACTAAAGTGGTAATTTTGTACATCGGTCTTTGTCTGGGCCAAAAATCTCTTTAATTCTGTACGTTTAAAAATAATTTTTGCAATTTTCGAAAAGGCGGCGATATTACCCAATATGAGACCTGCACCATTCTCTTAAACGTTTTTCGCACTATTGAACAACAAAATGTAATCAAAACAATTTGAGCTCTTTTTTTTTTCTTTTCTTTCTTTTTTTTTTTTTAATATCTGAGAGGCTTCATGTAAAGAACCCTCATAAACTAAAATGTCCGTTTCAAATTTCAGGAGCTGCGACATCAGCCACTTCGATTGCGGAATATCAAGTTTGGACAAAATCAGCTGAATTGTATACCCGCTAGCGTTACAACCACAGACGTGCTGACGGCGTTTTGCCGGCAATCGATTTTTCGTAATTAAGAACTTACAAAACATTTTTTGGCGAGTTTTCTGGCGCACGATTTCATAATTGTCTCTTCTCACCAAGAATTCGTGAGGAGAAAGAAAGTAAAAAACAATTTTTCGGTTTTCGGGAGTTCCCAAAACGTGTATTTCCGTTGAAATGTGGAAATATATTCTTCGCAGCAATACATTACTTTCTCTATACTACATATATTCCTAAGTATATATGGACGTGTACGAGAAAGTAACTAGAGGTGCTTCAGAATGACAGACTTTCTCGTATTAGTTTTCTGCGTTCTTGGGTCTGAGCTAGCAATTCAATCTTGCCCCATTACTCTTGCCAGCTACCATCCATCCCTGCTCAAAATAAATATATATTTTATTCTTTAGTATTTTAATAGTAGAACTGAAATATTGGTTTAGGATTATTAAAGAAGAAACACCTCGTCCAAAGTGGCAACTTACATTGTAACAGCAGGTATACAAACCGTTGGAAATGTACGAACTAAAGGTGTGGGAGATTTTTCAAAAAAATTATATAATAATAATAAAACAGCATAATTAATTTTACATCATCTTACAGAGTGCCATTAGTGCTCTCCATACGAAAAGATTGGCGAAAAAAATTGAGAGCAGTTTTTGAGAAAATGGCGTTTTAGCATTTCTGCAAATGCAAAAATTTGAGCTTGTTTGCACAGAAAACTTTTGAGTTTTCGAGAAACTATAAAACATCGTTTGAACTTTTAAATGAAATAATGTTAACAAATTGTTACTAATGTAAATATTAATAATGTGTGAGATATATTTTTAAAAAATACTCTTTTGTATTTTTTGAAAAAAGCAAAAGAAAAGAGCAATGTGGTGTTTATGACATCTCACAGAGTACATTTAGCTCTCTCCCCACCAAAAGTTTAAAGAAAAAAATTGGAGCCTTATGTATATGAGAAAGTAAAAATTTGTTTTCACATTGTTTTTCTTTCTTTCGTGTTTGTTTTTATTAATATTACATTTTTTAAATTACAAAGATATATTTATTTTTTTATTAGTTTAGATCTTGCCAGTTCAATACTACAGCATTAGTTCAAGGGTTTCCCATGGTTTGGTCAAGGTTCACACTGATCCCTTAAAGATATTAATCCAGCCCTGATTCTTGATATGGCCTTAAAGCATTCAATGAATGATACAAAACAAGAGAAACAATACTGAGTCATAGATGTAGGCATGAAACTTTGGTACTTAAGATCCCCAGCTCTATGGTACGGCAGGGCCTTCTTTGGGTGCTCTGTCGTTGTGCCATAAATGTCACAAGAAAGTTGAAAACTCCAAAAAATATGAGTTTGCATGTAACTGTGCCAACTTCAGTTCAGATGCCAGTAATTCTGTATAAACGTCACTGGTAGCATCGTGCAGGAACTTAATATTCCTAAGTACTTTGCCTTTTAGTTATCTCTAAAATATCAATATGTAAAAACCAGAAAAGTAGAGAAGAATGAAACTGAATTCATAAATTCATCTTAAATTTGTATCCAACTTCGCACAGACTTCAGAGTTTTGTTAAAATTGGGAGAAAGAATCTTGTTTTGGATCGTCAATAAAACCACCAGATTATTTCAAAAAACAATTTCTTTAATATATCTTGTGTCACTCTTTTGTTTTCACCAACACTATAAAAAATAATTCAAACAAATTATACAACACATAAAAATTGCTGTTCAAGAATTAGAATTTACAATGAAAAATAAAAACATTTGTAGTACAAAAATGTGGAAAAATTAATTGAATTACATAGTTATCAGTTATAGATCAGAGATAAAAAATGAAGTTACAGAAAAGCAGTATTTCAGGAAAGAACATAAATGCAGAATGGAATTTACAACAAATATCATTGACACAGAGGTAGTCAGATTAAGAGAATAGTATAAAAATATATTGTAAAGTCCATTGGAGTACAATATTAAGTTCACTAGAGATCCAACCATAGTTAAGTTTCTTCCACGTTTTACTTGCTTTTCTTTACTTTTTTTGTAGCAGTCTTTTTCTTGGATTGAAGTTGCTTAATGATTGTGTAAATGGTTAAAATGCCAAATAAAACTGATCCAACCTTCCAAATTACAGGGTTATCTCTCAATGCATCTGCTATCATTTGTGTGAAGTCATCACTGCAGAAGAAAATTTAATATAAATATAATAACTCAATACTTACAATCAAACAAATGCACAAAACCAAAATAGGGAAGCATTTTTCAAAAATCTAATTATAATGAAAAGTCCACATCAGCATATATAACATTGGATATTGTGGTATGAAACAATGAAATATAATAATGGTCTGGGCAGCAACAATTGACTCAATGACTAATATTCACATTATATATCTCCAAAATTATTAATCAAGAAATCTCCATCTTTGGATGAATTTAATATTAGTAATAGAACCTAAATGATGTCATTACAGTACATTAATTCATTTTTTAACAGACATACAAAAATATTAGAAGAAATTTGTTGTATGATAATTTTTTTTTCTAGAAAAGAAAAAAGTAATTACTTACAAAGGTGACTTTGGAACAGGAACAATTTCCATGCGAGCATTTTTATACCAATCAGATGCAAATGCTGCAAATGAAGCTACATCGTATTTAGGAATGTTGTATCTGTACATCTTGCCTTGGCGGAAACTGATACAAAAAACACTGAACTAAAAACACTGCATGACAGAAATCATAAAATAGTATTTTTGAACACTTATAAAACAAATAATTTCATATAAGGATATCAAAATTACACACTCCCTATTTAATTAATTACAAATGCAGTTATAATTGATACCCTTAGATGGATTTCAAGTTATTTAAAAAGAATTAAATTCCTGCTTACTAATTGATTCATTTTCATTCACAAGTTTATCTACTTTCAAGAAAAAGTTATGAGTATAATGTTAAGACAGTAGTGCCGTGGCAATTCAGTCCAAAAGATCGCTGGTTCGAGTCCACACACAAGCGCTCTTCACAACGTGCATTGTTGCCAAAGCTCATCGCATGTTGAAAGGGAAAAATCACACTGTATCTTGAACCGTTGTAGTTTGAGCGTCTTGCTCCAGCTGTGGGCACAACGTACATTGCTGGGAGTGCTTGTGTATCCTTTCACATAAGATAGTGTTAATCTACGATCTGTGTTAATGTGACTGTGTCCACGGTCACCAACGTTAGGTCCCAGAGGTCAGAGAGGTAGCCTCACGATTATTTAATTATTTTACATAATCCTACTTTATAATTTCACACTTTTCATACTAAAATAAATGTAATTTTTCCCCATTCTTCAAATCTCAAATATCGAAGTAAGAATTTCTCCTTACGTTTTTAACTGTAAATTAATTTCATGAATGCTCTTTTTATTATTTCATATCTAAATAAATAATTTTAAAAAAAATTAGTTGGAAATCATTACGGACTGCTGAAACAAACATTTTATGAGTTTGGGAATACGTTAACTTCACACATTTTATCTTAGAGTAGAATAATCATTAATTTAGGGCACGTTCTAGAACCTAAAATTTTATAAATCAAGTACTGATTCTGATATAAACCACATTAGAACAGACTGTTCTCAGAGAAAATGTGGTCTGTGTAACCAACGCACAAGAATTATGAGTCAAAAGTGCAAAGTAATCCTTCAATTTCAGTTTTGGTACAAATTTCATAATACAAATTATTGTAAAAAAAATATTTATTTTCTATTTTAACTTCAACTTCATGTGTAAAAATAAACATTAAATTAAGGTCTATTTGATACATAGAATGCAAATGCTTGTAAATCATTTTATCTCGTTTTATTTTGGTTAGACCCATAACACCCAATATCACCTTGAGGTGACACTCCTATAAAACAAAAACCATAGTATTGATTTAGATAATAACCTACTCGAAGGTTAAGAGACAGATAAATAAGTAATATTCAGAATGGCAATCCAAAATCTCTCATATTATAACAATGGGAATTGCTGAGTTAAGTATATTTTTCCATTTTACTGAAAAAGTTTTACAAACACAAATACATCAATAATTCTAAAAGGCAGTACTAAGTCATATAAGAAAAATAAGAAGAGTATATTGAACACAGACAGGAAATGATGGGGTATACTTACAATATAAATGATGGTACGTCTCTAACATTAAATCGCCGCCCTGTTACAGCCCCAATGGTCTGTTTGTTAACACGAGCTACATTCATTCTAGATTTCAATTTCGCACCTACAGCTTCCCAGCGTGCCTGCAACCTCTGACAGTCAACACATTCAGTGCTGTAACTGTAACAAAACAATAATATTACTATTAAATATTAGTTTTACAGGCTGGGCATTTCTTGAAATATATTTTTCCGACTGCCTGTTTTTCCTGTAAGTTTAATATAACAAAAGGAAAATGCTTAGTATTCTTAATAAAGTTTATTCATGTAAATAAATTTATATTTTTATTGCTACATTTATTAATAGATTTTCATGTCTAGAGATGTATTTTTCATGGAGAAGCTCCTGATTACTTTAGTAAATTCTGCTGTAAACATTATTTTAACAGAAAGTAGGAAATTTTGCTGCATGCTTCAGCATTTTTGGAATTATATTACATACTTAGAAGTTGACGACTATTACATCAAATAGAAAAATTAACATAAGTGTTATTACAAAGTATCAAATACATTTTTTAATTGCTTTAATCTTCAAAATGTTGTATTTTTCTATGCAAAACAGTAAAATTGCCTTTTTAAGCACTCATTTCTGGAGATTTCACCTGATTAAAAATTCGACATGTCTTGTATCTCCATCCCATATTACATATCCACAATTCAGAAAAATAAGAGAAATAAATCTCAAAACAGTTGCAGCTTAACAAGTAGTGTGGGTTACATGGGTGCCAGCTGTCTTCTCCATGGCCTAATTACAAATTTCAAGATTTTTCATCTTAAATCTGTTTGTTGCATCTTGGGTAATTTGTGATCTATCAGTCATGAGGTTTTGTGTTGATGGTGTCTTATAAATCATACAGTGAAATTTTCTTTGTGTTTTACTTATGGAATATTTAGGATACATACAATATATGGTCATTTAAATTGTTTTCAACTCAAACATTTTCACATTACAAATTATTATAAAGTTCTAAACATTCTTTGATGCTTGAAAACCTTAAATCAAAAAAGTCAACTTTCTGGAATCTTAATTTTGAGTTTACTTACAACATGATAAACCAATCTCCTGTTGTAGCTCCACTAGATGCTTGAGTCAAGTGTTCAAAATTTTCATCAGATAATTCTTTAACATTTGGTTCCTTGTTTGAAGTAAATGTATGAAGAATTAGTTCGTCATCCAAGGGACCTGAAAAAATTAAAATCAACATGTTTAATCAATCAAGAAAATTAAATACGCTACTCAGACAATACACATTGTAATAATCACTTCACTGCTATGAACATGTTTTATAACAAATTACAATAATATAGTCGAAATAGTGTAGTCTTCAGAATTTTTTCAAAAAATTTGGGCAAGGGCTTAAATGCAAACAGCATTTACTTATATTCGGTATCTTACTTTTCTCTAATATTAAAAAAATTGATGTATCTCTATACAAGTATAAAAATTTGTAGAATCTAATGATGATTTCAAAACACTTACATAAATTTGAAATAAGAGAGAAAAAATAAATTATATTTTTTTAAATCACAAATAAGAGAATATTCCTTCTCAATTTCTGTTACAATGAGCAACTTCACATCATTTAAATCAAAGTTTACAAATACAAATTTACTACAAAATGTCCAGTCCCTTTTCCTCTCTTTTCAATGTTACTCAGCTACATAAAAAGTACCATCCCACTACTTTGTTAATTGAACTTGACTTTATCCACATCTCATCAACGTTATACTTTTTGTGATTAAATATTAGTAAGGAATGTGTACTTACCATCATATAATAGAGGTACCCCATGCCTGAAAAACACCAAGGCTGGCTCTTTTGATGGATTGTATAATCGAACCAACTGACTGTTATGGGCTTTAACCACCCAAGCATTTAATGTATCAACTAAATCTTCACGTAGGTGAATTAATTCATTTTCATATTTATCACATTCTTCACAGTCTTTTTTGGCTACAAAAGTAACAATATGTTACACAGAAATTGCTCACATCCCACACATCAAGACAATTTAAACCATGTTTTACCCCACCAACACTTAAAATAAAATAACTACTTACTAAATAAAACCACAACATATTTTTCGTTTCGGAATAAATTCATAAGTTCTTCATCGTCAACAGTTTCTAAACCAGCTGTGCTAGCAGCACACTCAAATGATAGCAAACAAGTACATAATACAATTAATAACCACAAAACGCACTTCATCGTGCCCCGACAAAATGTTTCTCCTATTCCCACGGAAGTCTACCTACAAAATATACTCCTACAGCTAGCCGGCAAACATAAACACTAGAACTCCACTCTTCATCCACGTCTGAACGCTTGACGTTTGACGTTTCGCTCCCGACTTCATTCAGTCAAGCCAAATTCTGCTTCACAAGAGTAGTTATTATTTTATATCGCCGGTTCCATACCCCTGAAAAATAAGAGTAATAATACACCACTATCGAAATATCTTTGCAAAATTTACAGTTTTCACCAACTGCGCATCTGACAAAATTAATTTCAAACCCTATTCTCGCTATTTGCTTAAGTTGGCTCCATTATATTTCGGCGTATTCAATTGTCAACATTTCAACACCACCCACGAAACATGGAGAAAGATTCCATATTCTTAGCATGGAGAAATATTCCATATTCTTCCATGCACGAATGGTCTTCGTGATCCGCTATGTGCAGGACTGTGCTTGATTTCCGCGCCAAATTTAGATCGTAGCCCAGTCAAATCATAAATCGAGTGAAAAAAATCCAAAAAACAAAATATTGTGTGTATCTACCGCACGTTATACTAAAGAACCTGTAATGTTGATGGTAAGCTGGGGATAGGGGGGAAGTTTAAATGTAATTTTTCTTCTTTTTTGCATATATCATCATAATCAAAAATCCTTTCAAAATTTATGTTGTTTAGAAACTTGAATTAGACAAAATTTCCTACAAATAAGTTATATAAGATTTTGTTATAGAATTAACCCTTTTAAAGTTAAAGCCTCGAAAAGTTATCGTGCTATTTTACGGCAATGCCATTTCTTAAATATCTCCATTATAAAAAGTACGCGAAATGTTTAACGCACGGAAGAAATACTTTTGTTCAGCATTGTGGTTTTGCACATTTTGCGCAAAAATCATGAACATTTTATCTCTTATCGAATCGTATTTTGTACATACTTGCAAGTATTCGAGGTCATTGGGGCCGAGATTACCTCGGGTACGAAAACTGATAACAATCCAGTATATTTGATAAGGGTCGAGTACAAATATTTGGTAAAGTTTTGTGTATACCGTTAACATATAAATTACATGAAACAATATACGGCTACAAATATCGTAAACGGAATAATCACTTTTACCGCGAACACAGGAACAACTAAAAAAGGTGTGACAATGATGGGGACACTCATTCACGAGGGCTGTAGCGTAACGTTTGGACCCGCGATACGGGAGGGCACAGGTATAAAAGAAGGCATATTTTATTATTTAAGCTACTAACACCACTAATTGTATTGGTAATACACGTTTACAAATGGGGCCCGGATAAACGTTTTGCGGGCGGGCCCGCACTTATTGCGTTACGCTACTGCACGAATGGCGGCTCGGGCTTAGGTTGCACAACCCCCAGATAATCGAAAAATTTCTCATAATATCTTAGGAATATACATTTTGCACTTAATGACATTCAGTATTCAAGATATTGCAGGAATGTCGATGAACGTGGAATTATTTTGAAACCAAAGAGCGTCCAACTGGCGCTCAGTCCGGTACCTGATACCTTGCCAGGTAATGGACCATGCTCTTGGCTCTATTATGGACTTCAGTTCTTTTAACCAATAAAGCAAATTTGAAGTCGGTTTTGATCGCCTCTCAGTGTGCGAATATAATATATTTAAGAAGATATTTCGGTAAAATTATATTTTTTTAAATATTACTTTAGTCCTTATGGGCTGTTCATAAACGTCACGCGTTTTTGGCCTTTTTGACCCCCCTCCCCTCTTTGCCACAATTGTCACTGATACCTTCAACCCCCTAGTGCGATGTACTAATTTGATGTCAACCCATCCACTAAAAAAGTGTAATGTATATAGTACAGTAAAATCTGTCTACACCGGTACCTCTGCAAGCCGGAAACCTGGCTTAACAGAGAAATTTCTCTGGCCCTATTTTACGCAGCATTAAACGGAACCTGTCCAACGCGGAAACGGAACGGTTTTTCATGTCCTACAGTGGAAAAATACTTTATACAGGGGAATTCCTACCAATTTAATGCATTTGGTACTGGAGCGAGATATTAATGCAATGAATGCATCTGCAAGTCTGTTTTAAATCCTCTATCCCACGCAACGCCACCGCACTGTGAAGGAGAGCGTCTTCTGCTGACAGCGTAGAGTTGGACGTTGGGGGTCACTTGTCTGTCAAGGCGTGGGCCGTAGGGGAGTTCCTTCCTTCCTCCTCTGAGCGTGGGAAGGTGTACGGGGAAGGGCTTCTATTCGCGCCTCTCCCTACCCCACACTCAAAACATTGACGAGTTGCTCAGGGTCATGCGAGGGTATCAGAAAACCAGTGTACTCTGACGCACTGTGCGTCGAATGAGTGAGTGAGCAAGCAGACCGATTTCAGTCATTAGGCAGTGAGGTGGTGTGTATTATATTCATGAGTTCCATAACAAGTTTAACAATTCGAAAAACTTAAAACTCTAACATTCTCTAACATTAGATGAAAATATCAAACTTATGAAAGTAAGAGAAACTCAAGAAACAGTCAAGGAAAAATGTTTAATATTCATTTATTTGTGATATCTGCCATAAATACGTTATATAGTATGAAAAAATTAATAATCATTATAAAATCATACAATTTTTACTTTAATTTAATTATTTCCTTATATTAACTTACTAGTTTTGGGACGGAAATATCAATATCACAAATGTCGTTAAATGGACATCACTGCATAAAACGTTAACTTCTCTAAACCAGAACTTTTGGTCTCGATCGATTCCGCCTTAGAAAGATTTTACTGTATATAAAAAAAAAATAATTCTTGAATCACAATATTTTAAGTCTGCAATTTCAGAAAAAATAAAATTCTAAAAAGTATTTAAACTATCATTTTAAGTTAATAATAATAATACTTATTTGTCATTAGTCTATGAAGCACTGAAATGCAAATCCAGGTTGGTGACCTCTGCAATTTTATTGCCCGAAATAGTTGTAAATTCAACATGTTCTTGACATACAAGCTCTTCCATCGATTCAGTATCCTCTTGGTTCTCAATATTTTTAATTATTGCCAGTTCTTTTAGCCGTTTTGCAGCAACACGAATTAGACGAATGTTCAAATCTACAGCAACTGTACCAAAGTATTGAGCAAATGAGCGAAATGTGCATGATTCAGTCCACATTTTTTTGCATATATGGATTTGCATTTTGGTAATAATATTAATAGATGGACACATAATATCATAGGGAATATTATCGTAGGTTTTGAATTCTTTAGAGTATAATGTACGTTGAAGAGTCAGTGAGAAATAACGAAGGAACTTGTCCTTTACTTTCATCAATATAAATTTGAGATTTACTTTGAACAATTGGTACTTGATGTGGTAAAAAGCGATCAGATAAAATTTGAAGTAAACCACTACGAAATTGTGAACGAGTTTTCATCTGTACATTTTACAATTTGTAAAACGTGCTGACGTGCGTAGCAGCGAACGTGTCTGTTGTGCGTGTCTACATATATATCAATTAATTAAGACTCTTCAATTTCTTATTCTTCAGGTTTAATGAACTCGCTCACGACTAGGAAGCCATGAATGATCATATTGAACCATTCTTCGCTGAGCCTTTTTCTTGCGAATGCAAAACTTTATCTTTCTTTTACCCTATTTCCCTGAGGGTCTAGATGAGTTCCTCAATGATCATAAGTTAGAATCACGCAAACGAGTCCTTTGCTGGGGCGTGCCAATCGCCGCTCTAGATTATTTTTATGAAATGATGAGTAGATGAAGCATTCACTTTGTAAACGGTGCCACGGTGTAAAAACGAAAAAATTGTTGAAATTCGAATAGCTATATTATTTACATTGGTCAAATAAATTCATCAGATTAACATCTTACAACGTTCATCTTTCGTCGTATTACTTGAGCGTCAAAAAATCTTTCGGGTTACTTTCTTGTTCTTGTGTCTTATAATTCTTTTGAAAGAAGTGACTGTAGGCAACACCACATATTGTTCTCGTCACCTAAAAATATTGTCTGAGAAGCAAATCCTCTCATTGGACTTCTCCCGATTCAAGTTACTTGCTCTCCAATAAACATTAGGGACACTAAGTGAGGAAATAACGTTTCTTACCCAATGCAAGGAAATTCACTTTCGTTTTATTCCAGTAAAGAACTGAAACAGTCTTTAACGATCCGTCCATTCCAGTCTGTAAGAAATATCTTCCACCCGGTCCATTTAGTATCGAAACTATAATGCGATTTCCTGGCAGGCATCAGCTGTTGACACTTTCATCCAATCGGAATCTTGAAAAGACGAGAAGAGTGACATACTGCCTCCGTGAAGTAGAGCCTTGAGGGTCAGAGTTGAATAATCACAGTATATACTGCGATTTATCCAACTCTGCCCGTCAGGTCTTAGCTGTTGACAGTTTCATCCAATCGGGAGCTATAACTTCCCAATAGTTACGTTCGAGCTCCCGATTGGATGAAACCGCCAACATCTGCTATTAATACCTGCCAGGGGCAGAGATGAATAAATCGCATATACTGTGATTATTCTAACTCTGACCCTCAAGGCTCTACTTCACGGAGGCAGTATGTCACTCTTCCCGTCTTTCTCCGTCAGTCTGATAGCGTGTTTAAGACCGTACACAGCACTGCTATACGGTCGCGATCACGTGACATCTAGCGGGCCATCGGAGAAAGACGCGAAAAACTGACTCTGCTCCCGTGAAGCATGGGCTTGAGGGGCAGTTGGAAAAAATCGCAGAATAAACTCTTACGATTTTAGTTTCGTTCCTTGGAACGAAACTAAATTCACGAGGAATTCCTTATTGTCAAAGCAGCAGAGAAACGAAAGGTTGTATTTCTGTTGTAATCCGTGGTATGGAGATTAAAGCGATTTCGTGTTTCGTGAAAGGGAATTTTAAATACACGACTCTCAAAACAGTCCCATTTTCATAAGATAATTCCATATATGGTTCTAAAATTGGCAGTTTGATTTTCGTTCAACTCTGAATTTTTGACAAGTTGCAAAAGGTACAATGCAAGAATATATGTAGAGTTGCAGCGTCACTAGTTATTCAAATGTGAGAAGAGGTTACCACACTTATACTTTTTTTTTATATATCACTCCCTTGTTGAGGCAATGCTTCAAGTAGCTTTCAACAGCTTGGAAGTGGGACTTACAAATTCTTCGTGACTCATTTCCTTGGTAGACCGTTTTTATTTACTTACCAATTCTTTTGACGGTGAGGAGTTCTAAATTAATACGTTTTTATTTACCACATATCCCCTTTGCTGTAAAGAGTTGCATATTGAATGACAATGTACAGTAAATAATTACAAAAAGTTTCAAGACCCATGCTAAAAAATTTTTTTACTGTTCCTTCCCTCATTTTGTTAATCAAGAATTATTTAGTCATAACTTCAATGTGACTTGACAATCAGAGGAAACCAATTTTTGAATAGAAATGTTACATACAATGGAAAGGTTTTCAACTCCATTTATTACCAGACAAATTTAAAACAATTAGAACAAATATGTTGAAGTTATCCTCATCACATTCAAAGTTAGATTATTATTTTAATATTCTAAATATTCCACAGACAACTCATACTTATTGACAAATCTCCTCGTATCATTAGAAAACATAATTTTTTTTTAACTTCAAGTGGAAGAATCACTTTCAAACTACCCACAACTTGCAAATGTACTATCACAGTAAGATATAATTATTTAGCAATTTCAATTATTACAAAACAACTGAATAAAAAAAAAAGACATTTTAGATCAAAAATAAGCTTATTAAATACTTAAGATCAAATAATCACATTATATTAATATAATAAGCTTAAGTATATATTTGCATTCAATAAGAATGCAACATACCAAATAATTCAGCCACCTCAAGACATCATACATGCACACACAAATTTTTGTTTATTACATCTGAATTTACTGTTTATTTTTTGCTTCTTTTATTATTATTATTATTTTATAACTCAATTGAGCATTCTGGTAATAATACACTGTAAGAAAGTAGTTCTTACTCTGATTGACATTCATTAAAAGTAACAACCTAATTTAAAACAATATTGTATTATCATTTGCAGTTTTCAACAGAAGTTACTCACTAATTACAAGTGAGAACTTCCAATTCAGACTTCTTTTCCACTTGACTGAGCTCTAAGAATGATACCATAGTTACAATGACTATCACTGACAGCTATAAAATAAAGTAAAAATAAATGAAATATAATCAATTGTCGAACGCATATACAACTACTAACAGGTTCTTCAAAATTAAAGAGAAATATTATTGATTCACATTAGTTGAGTTTGGCCACAGTATTTTCAAGACACTAGTTATTAAAAACACTGTAACACATTATAAATTTAAAAGTTTATATTTTTCATTAAATAAAACTTTGTGCAAGGTTTTAAGGGCATGAATTTTTTATCTTCAGTAATTTTGAACAACAAAAAATAAAAAATTTACTTCTGTCCCCGGAAAAGTATGTTCAGAATTGCAATGCTGGACGTTCAACAGTAGTGCATGACATTGGCAGATGTACATATTTATTTATTTAGTAGTCTAATGTATTAATTATTTTTTGTTATTCAAAATTCCTGAAGATGAGGAAAAATTCATGTCCTCAAAATATAGCACAACAAAGTTTTGGTGAATGGAAAATATAAACTTTAAGATCTACATGCGATTCTGTGTTTTTATTTCTTACAATTTTAATAACTTGAGTCTGTCCCCCCCCCCCCCAAATAAAATAAAATAAAAACCTCTGTGGCTAAACTCATCTAATATGAATCAATAGTAATAGTGATAGACAATTTTCTTTTTTTTATTTAAAGATATGTTATTGTAATAAATTTATAGATGACAAAGCCACTGCACATAGATGCAAAACAAGTAAATTTGTCATTTATTTTTCATAGCTGTAGTGACAGTTTTAACCCTCGAACAGTAACATCTGGGTCAGATGTGACCCAAGTGAACTTTGTGAATTCTTCCTCCTCTCCCTCTCAAGATCACTGATCTCAGGAATCCTTTCATTCATTTCATCTACCTGTTCCCATGGCTGCAGGTTCCCATTCAAACAAGGTGGAATACAAGACGGATTACAAAATGTATTTTTCTACTTTGGAACAAATAGCGTTTTATATTTATTTTTTGAGAAAGTGGGACAGCTGGCAAGAGTGCTCAAACACCACTAGCGCATGAAAGTTTACGATTCAGAACCATAGCAGCAAGTATTCAATCTAAATCAACATTATTACCAAATTAAACTGGTAGCTTGATGCATTCAATAGTCTTTTTTGATATTAATAGTGTTCAGCAAATCATTCTCACATATTGCAGGAGTAGAAACTTTTAGGGTTTCTAGGGGGAATACTGTAAAAACGTTTTTCTATAAAAACAGGAGAGAAGAAGTAACGTGGGGTCTAAAATCTGGCATATCTTAATTTTGTTTTGACCACCAACACACCAAACAGTACGTTCAAAATATTTCAGAGATTTTCTTTTCTTTTTCTCATTTTGCTATAGCTTTTAAACACAAATTTATAGAGAAGTTTCACCTGAAGCGACAAAAAATCCCAGAAAATGTATACAATATTCATCTATTCTTTGTCATGTTATTTGTTTGAAAATAAAACCCATTTGGATCACAAATCACCCACCTTACCGTATGTGTCCTTAAATAGCACCTTGCCAGTAGATTTAAGCAACCTACCTTCATTTAACAATGCAGTACACATTATACTGCTACAACTTCTAGATTGTTAAGAATGCATTAACAACCTGACTGCCCATTTAATGATGTAGATACTTTTAACTTTGAAAGAGTGTTTAAGGATTCTCAACCTTTCAGGGTGAACAATTGTGATGGTTTGAGGTACCTGTATTTGCTGAAGTAATTCAATATAAATGAAACAGCATTTCTTTTTTAAAATTGAGATAATTAAGTAGATAATTTTTCAGTAACTGTCGAAGTATTTAATCCAAACATATGTTGTGTTTCCTGAAGTATCAAGATATTTTCACAATAAAACGCTGAACATATTTACATGAACCAAAAAGCAGATTGCCATCAGATTTTCCTTTTTTGAAGTTAATCTGTGAGAACACTTATTTAAAGCATAACACCAAGTTCCTTTAAAAACTGATGAACCCACTGATTTACACCGTTATTTTTCTTTACAAATCCAGATCTTCATGGGAATATTTCTGGGTTTAGAACAAACGATGAAATAAACTTTCTTGTTCTTGCAACCCACTTGTGCACATCAGTTATGATTTTAAAAATACTATTCTCTATGTACCAAGACATAAAGTCCTAAACATGCCAAAACTGCATACTGGAAAGATGAAAATTTATTAATACAAGTACAAAAATTCAAACCATTATATCTTCTATCAAGAAATAAATAACTATATAACTTTTATAAATGACAGAAAGAATATAACTAACCTTGAACTTTGGATATTCATTCATGTATATAGTGACCATCCCTACATATGGTAAAAATCCTCTTGCTCTCCCCACAACATCCTTTTTAGTAAGCCATAATTGACCAGGTGCATACAGGCCTCTGTCATCAACACTATTATTGTCTCCTTTGGTGAGAAATTTCACAGTGCCATTTTCTCTATAAAAATTAAAGATTTTAAATTATATTTTTACAATTAACAGCATGATCCATTACAATGAAGAGAATATCATCTTCTCATTACCTAACAATTATTTTTGAAGCCACTACTGTGAAGACAAGTTTACTTTGACAATGAAGTATTACTTCGTCCAACACTGAAGAAATTACTGGAGTATGCATGCAACTAAGGATCTGCTTCACATTTTATTAGCAACTGGCTATTTATAAGGCCAAAGACAATGAAATCTGAAATAAGCTTGAAGCATGCACATTCCTGTCATTTCTTTCCATTTTGGACAGAGTAATACCATGGGCCGAAGTAACCATTCTTTTCGCAACTAGAAAATGATAGGGAGAAAGGGATTTATTTTATGGAAAAGTTAAAAAGAATGATCACATAATTTTATCCAACATTTGATGACAATAAAGTATCACTTTTCTTGTAAACATTAATACAACCACACACTTCATTTAACCATACATTCTTATCGAGTTTGTATGCATCTCCAAATTTCGTCTCTCCTATTTTAATATCACTATCTACATAATGTTCTATGTTTCCAATCTTACAACATCTTTTCCAATATTATTTCCAAATTGCTCAAGTTGTTCCCAGACCCCTGTTTTTTTTTACTGAAAAAATACTTTGAAAAATATTTGAAATGCCATTCATTTACTGGTATATACAATGCAAACGAGATTTCATCTCTGCATTTGATTTTCAGTTTGCAATCAAGAACATATTTTGTCACATATAAACACCAAATAATTTAATACTGCTGTCCCCTTTCTGAGATATTCATTAAAATTAAATTCCCAATCAGAGAACTATCTAAGATTGATTTCGTAGATTTGAAATTTATAGTTTCTAAGAGCATCTCTGTTTAATGGATTCTTATGCTTTATTAATTCATAAAACATTTATTGAAATATCTACACTTTTCTTAATACTGCAATTCAAAAGAGAATCTAATTAATAAAATGATCTACCATTCATTAAAAACGAGTGGACATCTTGATTTTTCATTAAAGGAGATTTTCTTATCCAAGGATACCTTTTCATGTAAATTAATTTCTTTTAAAACTTTGTTCACGACATTTATGAAAGAACAGATTGTGATGAACAAATTCAATTTGAAGAAAAAACCTTCATCTTCAATATTGTATGTGTAGGATGACGTCAAAAAAAGTCAAACTTTGGCAAATTTAGGAAATTCATGGGTAGCTCTGTAAATCTGAATCCTATATAAACGTATTTCACTCTATTCTTACAAGAAATTTGAATACAAATTTTAGAACTTTTTGGGAAAATGTTCCAAGGGCATCAAATATACCCAAAATTTAAAGAATTCTTTTCGAAAGCTCACGGCCTCAAGTCAGGCTAAATCAATCGGGATATATTCATTTTGACAAAAAATCCTAAGCAGCCTTTAGGCACAAGTGTTGTCAACAAATGGACAGACATACAAACACTTGGAAACAAAGTACTCCACACATCCAATTCTCTGTAGACTTTTTGAGAAACAATGACCAACTTGTACAGAGAGGCTGATAATAAATATTTATGGTATAAATATGTATTTAAGTTGACATCAGATTTCCAGAGAAGATTGTGTACAGAATACCCAATGATATTAATCTAAAGAGAGATGGGAGATATCTTCAAAGGTGATAAGAAAAGGAAATTTAACTGTATTCTATGGAAATTAAACTGTTTAATAAATAACAAAATATGTAATTTGAGAAAGCTAATGACAATAAAATTATCATTTAAATTTTATTACAACAGGATTAGGTTTCTGAAAAAGAAAGCTACAAATCTGTACCAGAGTGAAAAGCTACATTATGTTAAAATTACAAGATATCAAATGATATTCCAAATCACAACCTGATAATCTAAATTATTTGTTCAGTAAATCTATCTTTCAGTACGGAATTTTCAGCTCTAAGGCAATTGTTCTCCAAAGGAAAAGATCTGCAACTGTAAGATTACTGAAAATATTTCTACACACTTTTAAATTACTCGCTTTTCATGCGTCTGAAGGTTTTGACTTTAAATGGAAAAAATATTGAGTATAAAGCCTGCTTATCACAGATTTTCTCACTGAAGGTATTTTGCCTATAATGAACACCTAGAATGAACTTAAGTACTTGCAAAGCCATGATGTAGTCTTCTATTTCCAATGATGATGATGTGTTTTATGTCGATTAAAAAACAACATATTACAATCATTTTGAGATAATTATTAGCTTTAGCCAAAAACTCTTTTAAAAAAATAATTACAATGGTGAAGTGAATAAATTCACATATAAATTCCTTTTTCTCTGATACATATTTTCTGATATAACTCAAGATTTTACATAATTTTCTAAACTTGTAATGAGTGGCTCAGAAGCTTTACATTAATGTGTTTGTTTAATGTAATAGCTGGTAATAATTCTGGGACTTTATTTACTCCATCTCTTTAAGATCTACGAAGAAAATCTGAAAGGAACGTTGACACAGAAAACTGTCTGATTTTAGGTTTCTTTTTGTTCAAAACTAATGCTCAACAGTAACAGGTATATATAAACAAAACATAGTATTTAAAACAGAAAATCAGAAACAAATCTTCCCTGCCAATTTTATGAGCTTTCTAGACCTTACTTTCTTCCGACTTTCCTTAAATGTCCTTTCTCAATACAATCCTTAATTAAAAATTGGCATAATTAACTATGCTACCTTTGATGAAAGAAAAAATTAGGTAAAGAATTATAAATGAAATTAAAGAAAGAACAAAGGTACAATAAATTAAATAATTAGAGCAGTATCACTTACTTCTCATGCAATTTAAGGACGCGATGTACTATAGGAATGTCCCTGCCTTCCACCTTAAACACTACAATTTCACCAACTCGCACAGGTTCATCTTTGTAATTTGTAAGAAAGAGTAAATCACCCCGATGGAAAGCTGGTTCCATACTACCACTGAAAAAAATAAAATAAGTCACGCAGTTATTGTAAATTTAATAATTTTAAAAAAAGTTTGCAAATTTCAAACAAAGTTTCAACTTCCTTCAAACATGAGTTTTTACCTTAAAACAACCACAATGGGACTCTCACTTTCGGTAACGACCATTAGACCTTTCCATATCATCAAGGCAGAGGACACAATCATGCCAAAACTCAGTACTTGGTACAGAAACTGAAATGAAACCATATTATAAACCATGTGACAAACTTTTAAAAGAAAAACATATTGCTCAAAAAATCCAATCTAAAAAGAATTACCTGCCGCTTATTCATACGCTTCACATCATCAAATAAACTCTGTAACATTGTTGCTAGTAATGAAGAAAAGGCAAACGAGAAAAATAACCAAACACTTCTAAATAAGCAATCACGTCCACGTCAAACTATGTATCTTTCATACAGATGTTGATGTCGGAGCGTTGACGAGGTTAAGAATCGATATACTGTTCATACTGAATCGAGAAGTCTTCAACCTTTCGAGGCTATCGATGCTGGGTGCGATTGGAAAATTCCAAAACGTAACGTACAACCAGCCTTTGAACCTTTGCACATGCTGGCACATGCCCTAACTCGAATTGAAGGGACGTGTTCACTACTCCGGTAGAAAGTGCAGTACAAGGCCCTTGCCCTTGCTTCAGTGTGCCACTTATAGTGGTGTAGCCTTATTTAACCATTCATGTGAAGTAAATCAGCTGTTCACTGTTTCATCCAACCGGGAGCTATTGAACGTCCCTAGTGATGTCACTGGACATGCGACATTTAAGCACCCGATTGGATTAAAGTTTAATCATTAAACCGCAACAGTTGATATGTATCAAGTGCACGACTAAATAAAACGTACTATACATCGCATTCTAATCGATTACTCTAATTTGTTCTCAATTGCAGCGGCAGAGTGTGTCTCTACCTCTATATTTCCATGATGCAACATCATTCTGGTGCAAGCATCGAGTACTGTGTCTGTAATAAGATATATCGGATATATCTTAGGTTGTATATATAATATATACTATATATTAAAATATTATTTTACACCATGGTACAGGCGAGACGGCGTTTCAGAGTGAGTCGTTAAGAATCAAATCCTCAACGACGCAATTTTTGAAATTTTAATGGAACAAAACGTAATACCAAAATAAAATAACAAATGGACAATTTACAATTAATTTAAAATAAAACTGGCTGATATTGTCAGGATATGTATTATATTACCCACATCCATGGACACAACCTTGGACACCTGGTTTTGATAATGTCTTTCACAAAGTTTTTTAATGTGCTGTGGACACATGTATACATTTTTTTGGACAACGAGAGGAGTATTAACCACTTTTTTTGTCTAGACAGTAGACAAATCCGAGCAGGCAGTTTCCTCTACAATAATGACTTTGTTCTGTCTCGACTGTCCCATTCACATACAAAGCAGCAATGCTTTGTGCTTGCAATTACCTTAAGATCCCCACATATATTCTGGGCTACCAGATTTTTTTCCAGCGGAGGACTTTTTACCAAAAAGGAGGACATTTTACATTTTTAAACTCCACGATGTATAGACAATGTACTCAACAATTCCAAACCATTAATAGTCTTTAACAATCAGATTATACTTTGGGTGGGTGTCATTAAAAATGAAAGCTTTCGATTGGATTATTCTTCAATACTTGGCCTCCGCCAACTTACGCATCATCGTTATTGTTGTATCCTTGATAGTTATTGGATTGCTAAAAGGTATAGAAAAACACTGCACCATCTGATTCGTTTCAAAGTTTTATTTAACTGTACAAGTTGCGTCAGGTAGGATTCAAACTAGCATTATCGTTATAATAAAGTTGAGAGTCTGGGCTCAGCTCCGAGATGGCACCAATGAATATGAAAAGATGATGCCAATGCGTGTCCACATGTTTTTTTTTTTGTGATGACAGTTCTCCCACGCTTATTTGAAAACGTGTTAACATTGCATTTTAAGTATGAAGTCCTTCAGGCGTCTGGGTAGTTGCCGGGGTCTTGTACATCGACGTAGAGTCTGGTCCGGGCGATGGCCTCGTCCGATCCCTGGTTCTTCTTCAATTATTTCTGTCGTGTCTATGTCAACTGGGACTTGTGGTTGATCTACGTGCAATCTCTCAAGTCAACTTGATGTTTTTGATTATCAAGATTAGGCGCAAACCTTACTTTTTTTCTTTGGCGTTTCTGCTAAAGTCAGTTCTGGAGTTTCGGTTAATCGTAGTTGGTCTATATGCCGTTTGAAGATGTACCGTCATCTAATATCACTAGATAGTGCAATTGTCCAAATTTTTTGATAATTACTCCGAACATTCTATTGGTTTTTATTGGCAGTGTAGTAGCGTGCTCGTACGCGTTCTCCCACATTTAATTGACGTGTCTTCTTTATTGATGTTTCAATGTTCTGAAATTTTATGGGTTTCAGTGTATCTAGTTCAATGCGAATGTTGCGATTCAGATTCTGTTCAGCAGGGGTTCGCTGGTTGTTTAAAGGACTCGCTCTGTACGTGAAAAGAATTTCCTGAACTTTCTTTCGCATTGAAAATGGTTCGTTGATCATTGTTGCTAATCGTTTTTCAATGTTTGCACATTCCTTTCTGCTAATCCATTCGTTGCAGGGTGTCCTGGCGCGATGAACTTGCAAAAAATGGCTGATGTTTTGCAGAAGTGTTGAAAATTTTCTCTGGAGAATATTGTAGCATTATCTGCAACTATTACTTCTGGAAATCCGTGCCTTGAAAACATTTCTTGAAGTAATTCGATGGTTGATGTTGCAGATGGCGCTGAGGAGTATGGTTCAATTTCTGCACATTTCGTTTTTGCTTCAATGGCAACTAAAAAATGATGTCCTTGGTATGGTCCTGCATAATCGACGTGAATACGCTGCCAACTTTGTTCTGGTTCTTGCGATGGGTGTAGAGGAGCTTTTGCTGACTATTTTTCACTTTTTCACATTCAGAACATGCTCGAACGATATGTTCGATATCCTTGTCTATGTTCTTCCAGTATTCATACCGGCGTGCGAGATTTTTCATTTTTGAAATTCCGATATGAGTTCGATGAAGTTCCTCCAAAATAGCAGCTTGTAGTTTTGATGGTACCACGACGCGTTGACCTCTAAAGAGTATGCCGTTGTCTATGGCAAAATCTACATCAGTTGTTTCGTCTTCTTGGAGTTCTCAGAGGATGCCAGAAAGTGATCATCAGCTTCGGTCTCTTTCTGAATTGATTCCAATGTGATTTTCTGAGTGTAAATTCTGTTGATGGTTTCTTCATATAGAAAACGGACTTCTTCGTTGATAGCTGTTTCGGTGTGTGATTTAAGTTCTTCATTCAGTAGTATCCGCGATAAAGTCAGCATTGGTATTCTCAGATCTTCTGAATATACCTTTGTAATCCAATCCTGATAAAAACGCTGCGTAACGTTGTAGACGGGCTGAAGTCACCCGTGGCAATTTTGCATGTTGACGGAAAATCCTAGATAGAGATTGATTGTCTGTGACAAGTTGAAATTGACCTCCGAATAAATATGAAAAAATCTGCCAGTTCCAAAAACAATTGCTAGAGCTTCTCTATCCAGTTGAGAATAATTTTGTTCTGCTGGGATTAGTGAGCGAGATGCAAATGCTATTGGCTTTTTCTGATCATTGATAATGTGTGATAGGACTGCTCCTATACCTGTGGGGCTTGCATCACAAGCGAGTCGAATGTGCAATTCGGGATTGAATGGCATGACTACGCGATCGCTTATGATTTCCCGTTTCAAGCGAATGAAAGCTGTCTCACATTCTGTTGTCCATTTGAAAATCGTATTTGCCTTCAGCAAATTCCACAGTGGTGCTGTAATTGTTGAAGCGTTTGGAATAAATCTGCTATAAAATGTGACTAATCCTAAAAAGGATTTTGTTTCATTTTTTGATTTTGGTTTTGGCATTTGTGATGGCTTTAATTTTTTCTGGTGACTTCGAAATTTTATTATATTCGATGACGTGTCCTAGAAACTCGATGCGTTGTTGAAAAAACGAGCATTTCCGGCGATTCTAATGTAGATCATATTTCCTCAGCCGTTCAAGGCACAAGATCAAGTTAAGTCTCACATTCTTTTTTTTATTATATTTACTTAAGGTCGCTTTTCAACAACTGGGTCATAAGCGACCACGAGAATCAATTTATAATTTACACAAGAATACACATTTTTTTACAGTTATGCCATTATACAATTACATACAAGCATATGAATGATCAAAATATATTAATAATGTAGGTACTTACATAATTGGGATGGGTGCACGTATTTATTTATTTATTTACATTACACAAGCTTTGATATTAACTACATGTTTGAAGGATTATTGTATATGAGATATAGGTAAAGGAGGGTCTTTATATTAAGGTATCAATTTTTGATGTTTTTAAAGTTGTAAGACTTTTATACATTCTTCTGGAGAGGAGAAGGAATAATATTGAAAATCTTTTAAATTTAAAGACTGTCTTATATGGGTTAATTCAGGGCACTCAAGAATAATATGGTATGTAGATACTAGGGATCCACATTTAGGACGGTCTGGGTCAGCTTTTATTATTAGGTGAATGTGTGAGAGATTAAAGTGGCCAATACGTAGTCTGGTAATTTGGACTTGTTGGAATCTAGTGAATTGGAGTTTCGGGAGGGCGGGTTTAATAACGGATTTCCTTACGAGGTGAAGTTTAGAGAAGGTAGTCAGCCATTTTTCATTTCACTGTTTTTTAACCATATTTTTAATATAATGTTTAATATCGGAGATAACTCCCTTCACACTCTAGTCCGTTGTTGGTAATGAAGTTGCTTCTTTAGCCGCTTTATCTGCCTTTTCATTCCCTTCTATACTTTCTATATCTATTCTTTATGTGCTGGAACCCAAACAATAGAAATGGAGGTTCCGTTGTTTTCTTGTGTAAGTAACTGATCTTGGATTCTTTGAATTATCTGATTTTTACAAAACCTGTTGACTATTGCATTTAAGGTAGCCATAGATTCTGAGTGAATTACTATTTTGTGGTTTTCTCCATTTTGGGAGACTAATTCAATGGCTTTCAGGAAGGCCCAGGCTTCACAAGAGAAGCTCGAAAAGTATTCTCCCATTCTTCTTTTGTTGATCCATGTACAATAATGTCGAAATATTTTTTAGTCTTCGGGATGTTTTTCAAAATTTGATCGATAATCCGATTAAATTCGGGCTGTTGGCGCTGTTTTGACACCAAAGGAGAGACTCGATGTATTGATATTGTCAGTGTGGACGTCTCTATATATCTCCTAGGATGAAATGAAATACATGGTCACACCACTACGTTTTTTGTATACTTATTTTATGATTGATATCTTCCTGAAAATTATGTTATTTGCAGTTACTTGGCATATTTTAAGCAATAAAATATTTAAAACTTATTTATATTACGTTTGGGTTTTGACGGGTTTAGTTAGCGCCCTTTGGAATTCATAATTCTAGAGGGCGCTGATTTAGTAAGTTATTCCATGTATGTGTATTTTCGAGATCGATTACCTTCTCGATACATAGTTAGCGCGGTAAACACCGCAAATTTGACAGTCGGAATCACGGAGGAAGTCGAAAGCGAAACGAATCTTATTGTATCGCTGAATGTTCGGTTGATTGTCACGCGGCAAAGAAGGTGAGTTTTGAATTCTGATTATAATTAGAGGTAGTGATTGTATTTTGTGATTGGTTTGAAAATCGGTTTATTATTAAGATTAGTTTTGATGGCATATTTTACTTACAAAAATCAATTAACTAGATGGACATGAGATGTGTGCCACGCGAGAGCCATGTGCAACGTAAGCTTGGCAAGTAGTTACAAATCAAATGTCAGTTATTTGATTAACAATTAT